TGATGATGATGGTGATGGTGATGTGATTGTGATAATTGTGATGGTCATGGTGGTTGTGATGGTGATGTGATTGTGATGGTGACGATTGTGATTGTCATGGTGGTTTTGATGGCGATGTGATTGTGATGATTGTGATGGTCATGGTGGTTGTGATTGTGATGTGATTGTGATGGTGATGATTATGATGGTCGTGATGATGATGGTTGTGATGGTCATGATGGTGATGGCGGTGATGATTGTGATGGTGATGATTATGATGGTCATGGTGGTGATGAAGATGGTGGTTGAGATGGTTGTTACGCCTTTAGTCTAGGCGTGTAGAGAAGCACATAAGGTTGAGAGAAGGAGGAGAGAGAAGCAAGCACCCGCCCTGGTTCCCAAACCAAACAGCCGAAACCAGCTATGGGTGAAAAAGGTGATTTTATTCAATGTCAGGAAGCGTAGCTCCAGGGTGAACCCAGGCCAAAATAATAAACAAAACCAACTAAGTCCCGCCAGAGAAGATAAGATAAGATAGAACTTTATTTTTATTTTTATTTTATTTTTTTAAGAGAAAACTAACTAAACCCTAAGAAAGAAACAAAACAAACAAATGACAATACTATCTAGGGCTGCACGATTTTTTGGCTTAGAATTGAGATCACGATTCTCTCACGATTTTCTTTTCCAGTATAAATATTTATTGCACTTATTAACTGCACATCAACTTCGTAACAGTTGAGACCGAACATAAAAACAATAAATAAACATTAAAAACAACAAATGTCTTACGTTTTGTTGTCGCCGCTAAATGTTGTACTGCTTGAAATTCCGTCTCCACCGTTGCTCGACACTGCGTGTATAGAGCAGGTAGTGCAACAATAGAAAAATAGGACGGCACTGTGTAGCGTTTGTCTAGGGTGTTGATCATTTTCCTAAATCCCTCGTTTTGCACAGTGTTGATGGGAGCCATATCTTTGGTCAGGTGATAAGTGATAGCCTCCGTAATTTCTTTGAGTTCGACGGGTATAGGGAAGCGCTGTATAAGGTTCCCATTATTGATGTTTGGGTGGTTGACCGGGACGGATTTTCTCCTGTCACTCTCTCGTCATCCCTGACGTGCTCTCCGTTGTTTTTTCCCTGCTAATTTTAGCATCACGCGGCACAGCTTCTGTATCACGTGGTATAAGGCTCCGCCCTTGTCATTTGTTGAGCAGGAAGAGTGAGCGCTTGTTTTCATGCAGAGTACGTCCCGGATCAAAATGCGGTACAGTCGTCGTCGTTTTTTGTTTTTTTTTTGTTTTTTTGTTTTTTTTAAATCGTTGTCATTTGGAAATGAGATCGCACATAAGTATGAATCGAGATCGCGATTTTCTAACGATTAATCGTGTAGCCCTAATACTATCCCTCGCTTCCTAGCCCAGAAATAGGAGAAAACATGTTAACTTGTTATTTTCTGTTATATCGCGAGAGTGCTGTTGCCCGTGAAGTGTTGTTGTTGTTTGTATGTAAAATGGCGGAACGAATAAAGCGCTGGGAATCGGAGTACGACGTTGTGTCTTTTGAGTTAACATTGGTAGCAGAGGATGGTTTCAAATTACAAAGTACCACCAAAGCTTGATGAAGCCAGGCCATACGAGTGCTGGAAGAATGAAGTCAATATCTGGAGACAAGTTACGGAGCTGGATAAAAAGAAACAGGCACTCGCGGTGGCGCTGGGGCTCGAGGGAAGAGCCAGAGAAACGGCCATGGAGATACACGCGGAAGATTTGGACAAAGATGACTTGCAAAACTTGACGCGGTGTTTCAGAGAGAAGAGAAAGATCGCGCTTATGAAGCCTACTCGTGTTTTGACTGCATTGCAAAGAACCACAGCGTGTCCATGGCAGACTACATTATAGACTTTGAACAGCGTTATAACCGGATGAAAAAGTACAACATGACGCTGCCTGATGCTGTGCTAGCATTTAAGCTTCTAGATACAGCTTGTCTTGATGAGGAAAGTCGACAGTGTGCACGGACTTAACGTTTGCGTCTATGAAGTCTGCACTGAAACGGATTTTCGGAGGGAAAGTAACCGGAGTTTTCAGCGGAATTCAACTGAACCAAGATGCAGTTTTCCTTACGGAACAAAGAGGTCCCAAATACAAACGAAACAACGGTACTTCGTCGCGGAGTGGACAGTGACAACCACTACAAGGTACCAACCCACTTGACAAGTTTGGCAAGCGAACAAGATGTGCTATTTGTCAGAGCACTTACCACTGGGCGAAAGACTGTCCTCATCATAATGGTGACCAAGTAAAGCTAACTGAAGATGGGAAAGTGGAGGAGTGTAACATTACTTTGTACTAGAGATGGCACGATACCACTTTTTTATGTCCGATACCGATACTGATATCATAAATTTGGATATCTGCCGATACCGATATGAATCCGATATAGTGTTTTTAATCAACAAAACTGTTTTTTAAATATCTTGCTGCATTTTGTATAAGTTCATACTCAAGTTTAAAACAACAACTACACTAAAGCTATTCTGTTATACCTGTATGAAAAAAAAATATTTCATAGTTCAGCAATACTGATCAATCTAATAAACTCAAACCTACACCATCCTCCCTATTCTGGTATTTTAAAGAGTACTTAGCGTAAATATTAAGCAACCTAACTAATAGGGTTCCAACTCCCAGCAACAACAAAAATAAATAAATAAAAAATAAGGAACCACCCCTCACGCTCCACCTCATGATGCTTAATCGACGTAATCAACCTTAATTTGATGCAGGGGACAGAAAATGCACAGAAATCAATTATTTTTCAAGAAATATTAAATAGATTCAACATCTTTCTTCAACAAAATTGCAGACTGCACAGATGGTACCTTCCCAAAGGAAAAAGTACTATAGCTTACTAGGGTATATATATTAGACTTAATAGTCACTATATACAGTAATTGACTTCTATTCATTTTACATCAAATTAAAACTTTGGGTGTCAGATAATTATTTATTAAAAGCTAGACATTTTAAATGAGAATAAGAAAGAAAAGTATGTCTTTGTGCCCCCTTTTCCCTGTTCATGCCCTATTGGCCCCCCTGGCTAAACTTTGCTAGATCCGCCCCTGCACAGTTACCAGCGTCAGCTACGTAGAAAAAGATCCTCGAGTAGAAAGTAATATTAAATAAATTCTAACAGCAGCTGATCAAGCTTAAACGTGCTGCTGTTGTTTATCCACTGGTTTCCTCTTTCTGGTGCAAAGTGGGCCAAAAACAAACAAGAGAGACGGACTGGCGACAGAAAAGCCGATCAGCTGATCATTAAGCAGTTTCATGATTGAAGTAGCAGCAAGAAGAGGCAGTCGCTCCATATATCGCTTGTTAAGCTTAACGCAGGAATGCTTTACAAACATTCAGAGATGGACTTACACACTTGCTTTACTTCTCTCGGGAATAACTTTGTCGGAGATGAAATGCCGGGTTGCTAGCGAAGCTCCAAATGCTATCCAGACCAGGACAGGTCCCGCATGCCACAGCTGCTCTATCACGTGATGCATACTGCTCCGACGTGCTAACGTTCTGAGGCGAGTTACGGCGTGTTGCAAGTTTTGTGAGGTGCTTTCGTGATATTTAATGGATCGGATTACATTTTTTATTTTTCTCCGATATCCGATCCAGTAATTTAGGTCGATACCGATACGTAATATCGGATCGGTCCATCTCTACTTTGTACACTAAAGCCAGACTCTGAAATCTTGCTGACTGAGGCACTGGGGTCAGCCATTATTGATACTGCATGTACACGTACAGTTTGTGGTCAGAAGTGGCTAGATAGTTACATGCGTGACCTGCCCGCGAAGTGTTGTTGTTTGTATGTAAAATGGCAGAACGAATAAAGCGCTGGGAATGAGAGTACGACGTCGTGTCTTTTGAGTTAACAAAACAGTTCAAAAGAAAAGGCAGCTCACCCCTTCAGCAGCTCACCCCTTCAGCAGCTCACCCCTTCAGCCTATGCATAAGTATAAACTCAGTGCTTATGCATAAGCACTGAGTTTATACCCGCAGGTGGCGGCTCTCACAGAGCACGCTTACACAGATACAAAGTAACCCAAAAAGTTGGAGTCCAGGTCCGCGTCTGCTGTCAAAGCTGCTCGCTTGCTTCTCTCTCCCTCCTGGCAGCTGTCAGAGCGGGTTTTTGAATGCAGTCACCACAGTCCAATCAGCAGCTCTCTGCTCTTCATTAGGGGAAGGACCTGCAGAGAGACACAGTAAAGAGAAACACAGCAGCTCACACAGACTTTTTATGGCCACAGGTCGTAACAATGATGATGATTGTGGTGGTCATCGTGGTTGTGATGGTGATGTGATTGTAACCGTGGTGATATCCTGTGGCTGTGACATCAGCGTGCAATGCATTTGAATGTTGTTGCAGTCCTGAGGGAATTTAAACACTTTGGTAAAGGCCTTATTTTCTCTCCATGAGCTCCACGCTCATTGAGTGGTAAAAGTCACAGGTGAAACCCGTCTGTGATTCTGTTTAATGCCTGCAACTGGAGGCAGAGTTTCAGGCGTCTGTCTCGCCTGCTTCCTCTCACCTGTTTCCTGATTTTCTGACACCAGAATCTTACATAACCGTGACGACCAATCAGAGCTGCTCTGACAGCTGCGGCCTAAGGTTGGCCTAAGTGCTGACCTCTGACCTCTGTGACCCCTAAGGCTTCTGTCCTAAAACGTCTGCAGGCAGCATTCAGGGCTGAAAAACTCCACCATCAGTCAGACAGAAGCTGAGGTGTTCAGCTCGAATGATCACGTGTTTTCAGCGTGTCAGTGAATCAATATATGAGGAAACTGTAAAAACATGATTCTACACTTCGGACTGCTGAAAGAGCCGAGTGCCCACAGCTCAGCTCATTGATTAGGATCAATTGCTGAATGACTGATTATAGATATGAGTTAAAATGTGCGTTTGCAGATTGGTCCGATCAGTAACTGCAGATTAACTCTGTCCCTGTCTGCGTGCAGTGGAAACGCCTGGAACAAGAGAGAGAGCAGCAGGCAAGCGAGGTAAACACACACACACACACACACACACACACACACACACACACACACACACACACACACACACACCCACACACACACACACACACCCCTGGTCAATATTTGGATGTTTGCCTACAATAACACTATTTTTAACACTTCAGTACCATTACCTCTTAAAGTATTCTTTCTTCTAGCTCCTTTCACACTAAAAGTGACAAAGTGTGAAGCAAGGAAAGACACATCATCAAAGTTTATCAGTCAGAATAAACTAGATCATTGATTTTTTTAAATTTAATCAAAGAAATTACATTTTTAAGTTGAGCAGTTATTGATTTTTTAGGAGGTCCTTTACAAACATGGAAACGTTGGGTTTTAGTTTCATTGATTAAAGTTTGTTGTTTGTTGATGCGAGGTTTCTGTTTCAGTCGAGTCTCGGTAGAATCTGTTTCTGCTGCTCTGCCTGCGTCTGTTTTCTTCTTCTGATTAAATTTTGTTATTAATGTAGCGCCATCGTTTTTCCTGCTGAAGCCTGTTAATTAGGCTGAGGGCTCTGTGGGGATTAGAGCCTGGAGAGCTTTTTAATTTCACACACAAACTCAGCAGCTGCCGGCAAATTAACGCCAGGCGGCCAGAGAGCCGCCGCAGCCGACACCAGAAACCAGACGTTACAACGCACGCAAACGTTTCCACGCAGACGTACACGTTAACACAGCATTCACAGCCGTCCTCTGCACACTTGACCTCTGGGCTTCCATCCGTGAACCTGGATCGACTCAGCGGAGACCTTCGATAAATCCAGGCCGCTTTCCATCTCTCTGATTGATTATCGATTACTGATCTTTGACGGCTCCGTCTGTCAGGTCTGTGCAGTCAAAAAAGTAAAACCAATATCAGTGATCCTGAAGTACTTGAGTAAAGTACTCAGTTACTCCCACAGTCAGTACAGTTACAGTGTGGATGTTGAAGGTCAATGGAAGAGGAGGAGCGTTTCATTTACTCCTCGCCGCGCTCCTCCTTCTGATAATTAAAGTTTCCTCTCGTCCTCACCTCCACATCCTGAGCCCCCCCCCCTCCACACACACACACACACACACACACACACACACACACTCCTCATGTTAAAGGTCAAAGTAGTTCCTTTCATATACCCCCCTCCCTCCCTCCTCCTCCTCACCCGTGCCTCTGTCACCTCCACCTCCACCTCCTGTCCTGTTGCTCCTCCATGCTAATTAAAGACAGCTCCCCTCTTTGGTGGTAAAGGTTCGGGCGGGCTCCTTTTATTACCTCCTCCCCCGTCCTCCCTCTTCGGTTGACCTTAACTCGTCGTGTTAAAGGTCAGCGCGGCGTCGTTCCCGCCTGCTCCTCACATCATTTGGAAATTATTCTGATTAATAAGTCGGGCAGCTCTTTTGAAGCGTCTCCTCCGGCCCGGCTGGAGAAGACACATATTGACTCTCCGGGTTTGGTTCCTCTTTTGATGTCTCGCTTTAAACTCCCAGACCTCGAGGGCTTCGATTAGCATAGGGGAGTAGGTCGGGATCAGGCTGCGGCTGACTTCCACACAGTCTGACCAAAGACACAGCCCGACGCAAAAGCGCGATGCAGCGGCCCGCCGCCGGTGGCCCGCCCGGTTGTCCACAAATTCAGTTCCCTGTGCAGAGTCGCAGAGGAGGAGGACAAGAGGGGAGGAAGATACAGGAGGAGTGGTCAGCTGTTTGAAAGGAATAAAATAACAAAAGTAATAAACTTTATTTAAAACATGTTTGTAAAACAAAACGCTTCACACGGTCTTTATAGGGATTAAAATCAGAGTGCGAGCTCCGCCCCCTCCGAACTCCCATGAAGGAAATTCATTAATCATGATGTCGGCTCCTCTAAAGAAATACAACATTCACTCGTAAAATACAGAACAAGTATAACGAATAATAAATAAAAAGTACATCTCTCCATCCATTCTCTTCTCCTTATCCTTCTCACAGTGACGGGGGTGGAGCCTATCGCGGCTACCATAGGGCGCGGGGCAGGGCACACCTGGATTGGTCTCCAGTCTGTCACAGGGCCAGCACAGGGACAGAGACAACCGTTCACTAACTGCACGTGTGTGGATTGTGGGAGGAAGCTGGCGAGAACATGCAGCATAAAAGGCCCCGCCCACACGGTGGATTCGGACCCAGGGCCTTCTGTGCCACCGTGCTGCCTTTTATATTCATTCATGCCCATTAAAAATGGCTCCACTCAGTCCAGCACATCCTTGCATCCTCTCAGCAGACTTGCTGACTTCACCACGATGGCATCACCCATGTCCTTCTGGCAGCTGCAGCGCTCCGGCGGCGTCTGCGTTCTGCTCACTGATGACTCGTCAGAAACTTCAACCTCGGTGGAAACCATGGTGACGTTAAGTACAGTTCACAAGGACTCTGGACTCTGTGACGGTGACATGTATAAACTACAACACCCAGAATATGGACTACAAAACACTGCTGCTGCTTTACTGCCGCCTGGCCTCACTGTGGGCTCAGCAGGTCATAAAAACAGGAAGTATGACATCATTACAAAGACAGGCAGAGCTTTTAAAATGAAAACAGCCTTTTCTTCTTCTGTGGTCCTGCTGCAGCGCAGCCCAGAGGAACTCCCCCCTCCTCGTTTAAGGTTTAATCCACGACCGTAACCTAAACTGGACGATACAGACTCTGAAACACGCTGTGATTGGTCATGATGTCACTTCCTGTGTTGTTGCCTTTGCCATGCAGATTAAAACGCGTCCTCTCTCTCTCTCGTTGCCTCGCCGGCGCCTTACTAACGCATCTAATCCTCATCATTACCGTTAATTTACGGTGCTCGACAAACGCAGAAATCCCCTCTGATTCCCACAATGCACCTGTAAACCCCTCCTCATTACGCGCAGTGTTGACACGCGTTAGAGTTAATTAGTCCATTAGTTAATTAATCCTTTATTTGAACAGGAAGTAGCGCTGAGAGCCATGGCTTGATCTCTTCGTGAGCACGAGCAGTTAAAACACAAACACATGGTTAGGTCGGCCAATCAGAGCGCGGCTCCCAGAAGCCTCGGGTGGATTGATGTAACGTGCCTCTCTGCTGCTGGTGTTGACTGAAATCAGCTGATTACCTGTAACTGACGCGTGTTTCATCCAATCAGGAGCTGCAGAAGGTGCAGATGGAGAGGGACGGTGCTCTGGAGGACCGGCGGCGGCTGGGAGCGGAGGTTCGGGCCCTACGAGCCAATCACAGGTCAGCACACACGAGTCTGAACTTAAAGATGTTCATCCACAGGAATGTGGAGAAATCTGTGGTTTCGGTCCAAACAAGGACCCAGATCTCAGAGACACCAAATAGCTGATTTAAGGTGTCAGTTAAAATATGTCAGAGCTTTGATTTAAATCTGTGGTTTTATTGTGAAAGTCCCTTATCACTTCCTGCTGTGGATTTATCAGTGAGTAATATTAGGAGCGGCTGATTTCAGCTGGGTTATGTCCTTTCAGTTAGTGAAATCATAAAAAATAATAATATTTTCCATGATTTCATCATCTCTAATTAGTGGCAGGACTTCTGTGAGCAGTTTTGTAGGAATGGGATCTAAAAGACACGTTGATGGTTTGGAGGAAGTAATTATTGAAGTTAACTCAGAAAGATCGATTGGAGAAAAAGAGTCTAACTTAATAACATCAATGGTACTGAAAGTAGCTGTAGATAATATTACATCTGTGGGATGATTTTGAGTCATTTTTTCTCTAATTGTTAACATTTCACTTGTGAAGAAGTTCATGAAGTCATTACTAGTTTTCACCTGCAGCCCATCTCATCCCAAACCATCTCACCATCAATCACCATTGAGTTTAGGTAAGGTGACTGTGGAGCCCAGGCCACCTGGCACAGCACTCCATCATTCGGTCAAGCAGCCCTTACACAAGGTGTGTTTGGGGTCATTGTCCTGTTGGAAAATAAATGATGGTATGTAAGGTTGGGCGATTGGGCGAATATATCCACTGAGGCTGAGCCTTTCACCAATCAGTTTTACTAGAGAGATCTATTTATTTATTTATTTGTCCATGAGTACGTTTGCTGATAATGTTGGTTGAGGCTAAGAGAAGCAGTCAACGGAAAAATAATAGCACTGTTTTAATGGCACCCTCTTCCAGCGGCAAGCAAATGCACCCTCCTCAAAGTGCGCCCAAATGCAGCGATTCATTTACTCAAACTCATAACAGAAAGAAAGAAAGGCAGTAGCCTATGTTCAGAAAAATCCAAAAACCTTATTTAAAAAACCTACAATGGCGGGAGGGAAACAAAGAGAAACTGGCTTCTTTTTTCCACTATAACCGTGTTTATCTGTCTTACACAGTTGACCCAACAACAAATGCAAAATTAAACCAAAAGTAAGCTGAAAATCAAAGTCTCTTCCAGTGAGCATTAAAAAAGTTGTGTTTTGTGCAATTTGGCGCATCTCAAATAAATTAACAGATAAATAAATAATCCAAAAAGTAGCTATGTTATGAAACAAACAAGAAAAGTAGGTAAAATATTCCCTCCAAACAAAACTTATAAATTCTAAACGCACAAATCAGTCCATGCATGATTACATTGCTCCGCCCATCAAAAAGTCTGCTCCTGTGCGAATATATCACCTGTTGTTGGCGATTGGACTGATGGTTGTTGGTTGGAAAATTTCTACATATCACCCAACCTTAATGGGATGGCATGTCGCTGCAGGATGCTGTGGTAGCCATGCTGGTTCCGTGTGCCTTCAATTTTGAATGAATCCCCACCAGTGTCACCAGTAAAAGACCCCCACACCATCACACCTCCTCCTCCATGCTTCACAGTGGGAACCATGTAGAGACCGTCCATTCACCTTTTCTGTGTCGCACAAAGACATGGCAGGTGGAATCAAAGATCTCAAATTTGGACTGATCAGACCAAAGCACAGATGGTCTAACGTCCATTTCTTGTGTTTCTTGGCCCAAACAAATCTCTTCTTGTTGCTTTTCCTTAGTCGTGGTTTCTCAGCAGCTATTTGACCATAAAGGCCTGATTCACACAGTCTGCTCTGAACAGTTGATGTAGAGATGTGTCTGCTACTGGAGCTCTGTGTGGCATTTATCTGGACTCTGCTCCGAGGTGCTGTCAACTTGGGATTTCTGAGGTTGGTGACTCGGATGAATGTATCCTCAGCAGCAGAGGGGTCTCTTGGTCTTCCTTTCCTGGGGCATCCTCAGGTGAGCCAGTGTCATCGTAGCACCTGGTTTTGAGACTGCACTTGGGGACACATTCAAAGTTTTAGCATTTCCACGGACTGACTGACCTTCAGTTCTTAAAGTAATGATGGAGTGTCGTTTCTCTTTACTTAGGGGGAAATCCAGGTGAACACTCTTGTCTCTCTCCAAACAATCCAAACACGAATCCACTCGAACACTCGTCACTTAGGGAACACCGGGGAAAACAGTCCAGAGGGTCTGCACACAAAGAAACGCTCGTTAGATTCCAAACACACAACTACATGGAAAAACACTTGCTAGACGCTCAACTTTCACTGACGTGATTCTCACAACGATCCAGCGAAGAACAGCCGTTGCTTCCTGGCTTGAATGCCATCCACACTGATGAGGCACAGGTGTTTCCTCCTTCGAGGGCGTGAACCTATAATGAGAGAGAGAAACACCGGCTACATAGGACCCTACACCGCCGGGCAGAACATGTTCCCTCTAAGCCTGAAGGGAAAAAGAAGGAACACACATGTAAAGGAAGCACTCAAAATGTGTGGTTATCCTAATTGGGCTTTCATCAAATCAGCAAAGAGGCACAGAAAAGAAGATCAGACACCAGCGAGGGAGGATAAAAAGGACAGACGCGACAACATTGTCAGCCCCTATGTAGCCGGTGCACAACATGAACGAAACCCAACAGAAAGCATCAGAGAGGTCAGAGGGCGCGGTTTCAGGACCGGCCCTGAGGAAGAACACTCGGGCTGAGGCCCCACTCGGCAGTCACAGCGAAGCGCCGCAGTAGCCTGAGTCAGAATAAAGATGAGCAGCGAGGCGTCCACGCTGGCCAAACTGTGAGTCTCCATAAATCATCAGGATTGATGCTGGACGCCTGCTGAGATGTCGGGGGGGGGGAATCAGGATTTTTGTTTGATTTCAGTTTTCTTGGTGGAAATAAAAACTAATTTCCTGTGATTTTACTTCATTAAACCCTGTGTGTGTGTGTGTGTGTGTGTGTGTGTGTGTGTGTGTGTGTGTGTGTGTGTGTGTGTGTGTGTGGGGTCTCAGGTATTACAGCCTCAAAGTGGGGACGTTTTGTTCCTCTCACGGGCTCGGAGCTGGTCTCAGTACTGGTCCTGAGCAGTCTGAAGGCTCACAGCTGGATTTCTGAGCCCGGCAGGCTGACGGATGTGTGTCAGATGGTTTTTCATCAGTGTGTTGGTCCACGGGATTAGCAGGACGTCAGAAGAAGATTGACCTTTGACGTGTTGGTCACATTCTGTGTTTGCTGTGTTACAGTTTCTGTTTATTCTCTATTATTGGTGGTTTTTCTCAGGGTCTCTGTGCTGATTTGATGCCCTCACAGGAGAGATATTTGGTTATTGTTCAGTTTGCAGCCAATCAAAAAGCTGCACTTCAACCTCTGAACCAGGCATGTTCAGTCTGACGTATTAGTACCTCTGAGGAGGTGCTATAGTGTAGAAGTAAAAAAAAGCAGCTGGATTTCTTTCATGTTGTGTTGCCTGTTGTTAGCGATCCTGTCAGATCACAGGAAATGCGTCCCAGCGTGAAGACTGATTTAAAATATCCAGACAGTGATTCCTTCTGATTTCCTCAGACTGAAACATAGTTATTTATGCTTCAAGTCTCTTAGTCCTGATCAGACGCCGCTAACCTCAGCAGTGCAGACCGGGTTAGATAAAACAGATCTCAGCAAGTCAAAGGTCAGGCCTGTGTTTGTGTACTTGGTTTCTTCGCTGATGGCCCAAACTGGAGGTGGGTTTAAAAACTCCTGAACCAATTTTAAATATAAATGCATTTTATCAGAAACGGCAGAGTGTCAGCTTAGAGCTCAAAAAACTATTCCTATTAACAAACAGCTGAAACAGTAAATGAGAGCAGGTAAACAGATTCTGCACAAAGATGTAAACGCCGAGCGGGGATTGTCACCTGACGGCACAGACGCGCTGTCTGGCTGGAAGCCGACAGCTCAGATTCAGAAGCTGCAGGTTTCATCTCTCTGACTGAACCAGCAGCAAAAGAAGATCAAACTGCGCTTCACGTTTGAGAAACATCGTCATGAATTCTTTGGCTGTTACTTCCTGCACAGCTCTCGGTCTCTGTGTCCTCAGAGACCAGTTTACCATCAGATCTGTTTTTCTTACCACACACCAGTCTGCTGTTGTGTTCAGTGCTGTCGGCCTCTGACATCTAAACTTTTACAAATGACTGCTCAGCTGTAATCACACCTCTGTAACTCTGCTTCACTTCAGCAGCATCAGGTTCACATGTTGATTCATGGTTTTATTTTAAGGTGCTATAAAAAGCCAGGCCAGGAAAATCTGCTTCATGTTTTTATCCTCAGTTACTTGGACACAAAGGCCTCTGCTGCAATGCTCACACCTCTGATCAAGTCTCACGGTGTCAGTACTGATAGATGATAAGATAAGATAAGATAAGATAAGATAAGATAACCTTTATTAGTCCCACACGTGGGAAATTTGTTTTGTCACAGCAGGAAGTGGACAGTGCAAAAGTTATGACGCAAAAATTAGAATACAATAAGAATAAATACAGTACACAGCTGTACAGAATAGAATAAAATAATATACTATATACAGTAGAATAAAATAGAATAAAAATATACAATAAGATAAAAATAGAATACGAATGCTATATACAACTGAGTAAAAATACAACGATGACAGAAAAGATTATTGCACTTAGTGTTATTGCACATGTGTGGATGTGTGTGATCAGAAGCTGAATCCAGGCGTTATAGGAATCAGCGAGGATACCCAGTAATAAGTGATATGTTGCTTGTGTGAGGTTGTACAGACTTATTTTTAAAACCTGCTGAGAGTCTAATTATTTTTTTATGTGTATAACAAAGTGAGACAGGGTGCGCTTTCTTCTGTTCCCGTCGGACGTGTTTTTGTGTTTGTGCCTTCGATGTAATATTGTGTGACGTCGGGTGTCTGCTTTGTCACCATGAAGTTGGAGAGATGTCTCTCGCTGATGTCGACGTCTGAGATTCAGGAATGGTTTCTGCAGACTCTCGGACAGGTGCAGCGGCGTCTGTGACCGCTCATCAGTGGTTGTCTTTGTGTGTTTACTCTTTAAATGTTTCAAACGGTGCTTATCACTAAGATATTCTCAGATATTAACACTGTGTGTATGCATTAGGACTGGGCGATATGACCCAAAATTCATATCTCGATATTTTTTAGCTGGATGGCGATATAAGATATATATCTCGATTTTTTTTTTTTTTAAAGCCATAAGTTAAGAACAAAAAGAGAGTTCTTAGTCACACTGTGTCCCAGATGTCACACGGGCACTTTTATTTACATACAGCGTAGATGTACATGAAGAAATTACTCAAAAATAAATTATCAGCATTTATTAAATAATCATGGTCCATAAATAAAAGAAAACAATGTTGTTTTTGTGCATAACAAAAAGCTCACAATTGTGCAGTCAAAATGTAAACTAATAGACGCTGAGCATAATAACAAAGAGACAGATTTCACAGCTGCACCACGTCTCTGAACAGGTGCCATTTGTGGTCCTTATACACACACAGTACGGTAATATTACGTTGAAGCACAGTACGCATCACTCCGCGAGGCTCCTCCCCGGTAGCCGTAATCCTCCAACAATCCATCAAGCGGTGCAGCTCCGTAGCTTAGCAAAGTCATAATAAAACATTTGACAGATTGCTGAGCGCTGTGTACCACATAAAATCGGTTCGCGGTCAGTAAGCACAACCAGAATTCATACATAAGGCGCACTGTCGATTTTTGAGAAAATGAAAGGATTTTAGGCCGTGCAGCCCCTCCGTGCTGCATGTCGTTAGCGCGGTTAGCTCGCTAACACGTTGACGCCGTCCAGCCCCACGCACGGGGCGATCCGCGGTAACTCGCTAACGGAGATTTTCCGCTTTCATCTTGTCATTGCCTGCAGGTGAAGCTATGGGGGAGGGGGAGTTGTGTTCAGTGAAGGAGAGGCGAGGCCGAGTAACGTTGCGTAGAGACAAAAGTGGACGAAAGAGAGGCAAACCTGCGGCTCCACAAGTATAATTATAACGTAACATAGACTATATCGATATAAACGATATTGTCACATCTTATATCTCGTATGAAAATATATCGATATTTTTTAAAAAACTCGATATATCGCCCAGCCCTAGTATGCATTGTATTCCTGTTTTCCTTTCATTCAGTTTTATGGATTTATATGAGCTGTGCTGAACCACAAATTGAAGTTTTAGGACGTCCTGCTCCAACATGGAAAACGTTTCAGCAGAATTGAAGCGGTCGAGTGTGATGAAGTGAGAAAATATCAGATGCAGCACGAGGATCAGAAAACTGCTGAAGGTCCTGACGACGATGCTGTTGGTTCCTCTCTTCTGTTTTTAAAGTGTTCTGTTTCTAATTTGGTCTGAACTTTGACCTCTGACCAGTGATGGGGATAACAGCGTTACTTTTTTCAGTAACGAGTAATCTAATTACCATTCCTATCGTTACAACGCCGTTACCGTTACTAACAACAAAATGCGGTCGCGTTACTATTTTTCACCAAACAGACGGTTGAAGCTGTGTTCAGTTTATTGCAGCTTATATCAGCTGCAGGAAGTAGCTGTAAGTAATCTGGATGCTGCAGCTTTAAGCAGCTGCGCACTCCCGCGGACCGCGATCACGATCACTGTCTAGCACAACACCTGGAGCTCAGGAGGCAAAACAATCGCATGAGTGCTGCTGTTTGACTGAGGAAGAATAAAGTAGTTGTGGTAAACAATCACATGACCAAGATGACAAAGCAACAAGGTGACGTATACCAGTTTATAAACGGTGTTGATGGGCCAGTAAAACCAGAGTCGTGATAAACAATTTATACGCCTGTTTTTCCTGAATAGCTTCACGTTTACTGTCTAAGGACAGCAGCGAGACCTCTCTGCTCAAACAAAACAAAAAAACAGCCCGTTCATGTTGGTGGAACAATGCACCATGTCAACCAATCAAAAAATGATATGGCAACATGACGTTTGTTGTTTAGGAACAGGAGGAAGATTTAGGAGTGACGGAGAGAGAGAGAGAGAGTGGAAAAAGAGAGAGCGAGATGTGAGAGATTTGTGACGTTTAGCGTGTTTGGAGTGGCACAAATAATTTGTCTTATTAAATGCAGAACAGCTGATTGTTCTGTAAACAGTTTAAGTGGTTTAAAAAAAAAGGGTAAAAGGTAAATGGCTGCAAATAACTTTGTTTGCAAAACTTGTGCATAGATTTTAAAACTGACAAATATTTGCATTTAAAGTTATGAAATATGATTCAATAAACATGTTTGTGGTTGTTACAGTAAAAAATAACTTTTTCTACTCAGATTTTATGTTTTTGTCTGATTCTAGATCAATGTTGTTAATACAGTAGTCAGAATGAAAACATGACTGTAAATTCAGACACGTGAGGTTGTGCTGAAAAGGATGATACCAAACACGGCAAATAAACAGTTTTTAAAGGTGAAATGTGGAGGAAACATCAAAGTGGTTAAAATGGCCAATTATACCCTGGACCTCAGAGGGTTAAACGTTTATTTTAAGTAACACAATAGTTACTTTTCAAGTAATTAAATACCTTTAGAATCTTGTAACTCAGTTACTTTTTTGAAGAAGAACCTAGTAACTATAATTAATTACTTTTTCAAAGTAACTTGGCCAACAGTGCCTCTGACCTGTCTGTTTACCTTTAAGTAACCTAGCACCTATCGATATCCCACCGATCGATTATTTATCAGCTGCTTCGCGCTGACGATCACAGCAGCTTTAAAGCCGTCTGAAGCTCAATAATCAATAATAATCAATAATACCTGTTGATGTGCTGCAGCTCACGTCACACTGCCGCCTCTGAATCATTTTTATTTAAGTGCTTTTTAAATAAACTGCTGGTCGACGTCTGTTTCCCTCAGTGTTTACAGTTGGATGTGTGAACGTGTGGAAGCTCACTGGTTCTTCATCACTTTTTTACCTGTTAGCCAGTTTGTTTTATTTATTTATTATAAAGAATCGTTTTCATATTTTTAAGTTTCTGAAAATATAAAATAAATATATAATAAACCCATTTTTTCCCAGCATGCACTCTGACTGTCAGTTTAACAGGAACGTCCTCCTCTTCCCCTCTCAGATCTCAGGACTTAGCCCCGCCCTCCCGGCCCTCGTTGCGAGCTGATAGCGTCTCTCCTGAGGCCCCACCCCTGATGGATAAGCTGCAGCAGCTGATGAAGGAGAAGCAGAGCGTGGAGGCGGAGCTTCAGCGCTGCCAGGAGGCAGAGCGAGAGGCCACTGAGCAAGTGCGCAGGTCAGAGCCTTCACTTCCTGTTTGTTGCGTTCTCTGTTCTGATTGGCTGCTGCTGCTGAAGCCATGTATAATATTTTTGTATGTTCTGCTGCAATCGCTAAGTCATCAATCAGCTCAGAGTCTACAGGAGAACAGAAAACGGGAGAACCCCCCCCCCCCCACCGTGTGTGACATGCCACCACGTTGGGGGGGCACACAACATTAGGTACGTGGTCCTAATGTTGTGGCGACTGGTGTTTCGGTTCTGCTCATGAAGCTGCCGCCGTGCCGCAGACGCAGCGCGTCGTTGTGTCTGTATCAGAGTGAATCTAACAGTTCTTCAAATTAATCGAATCTGATTTTTTAAGGTTTGGGAGACGTGAACATCAGTTTTACCCACTTGGTGCATAACAGTAGCTTAATGTTAGAGCACTCCTCCTCTTCATCGCACAGTAATCACACGCTGCTGCTCAGAAGAAGAACAAAAACAGAGGAATGAAACTCGAGAGAATCTGCAGCGTAGCTTCAGCCCAGTTTCAGGTCCAGAGGGCCGATTTTACTGCAGACTGAACCGAGCTTTAAAGACCTGCAACGGCTGAGAGTCTCTGCAGACTGTGGGAGAGGATTTTTATGATGACAGGAACCAAACTCGGACCTCTGCGGTTCGGCCCGGCAAGCCTGAAGAAGTTTTTCTGCATGAAGATGTCCCTCAGCTCTGACGATGGCGAGGTCTTCTCCTCGAGCGTTCAGAGCCGTGCCCGGCTTATTTCTCATGATTTTAGAAACCGTGTCTCTAAAATCATTCGAAATGACGGGTGGAGACTCCAGTGGTGGCGTTTCATGGTGAGCTGACGGTGTCAATCACGTTTGACGCAGAGGAAAGGTTTACCTAAAGAATGTCCATCAAACAAAATAAACTTTCTTTTGTTTGATGTCGTCACAGAGAACTGTGCGGACAGCCTGCCAGTGGTGAGCTCTGAAACATGGCTTTATGTATTATTAATAATGATTACTGAACTGCCTCGCAGCTGTCAGGAAACATCAGGTGAGCTGCTGTTTGTGGCCCACAGGTGTGACGGGCAGGTACTGAACCCTCAGAGCTTGCTGGGACAGGTCGGCAAGAATGATGACGCTTTCAGGCTCCCGGCGAGTCTCCTTGTTCACATCACAAATAAAAGTTCGTAGGACCCTGAAATCCGCTGCGGTTTAAATTAGCAGCAACATCTGAGTAGCTGTTCTTCAGTCTGAGGAGATTTTATCTCTGCGCTGCTCTTCATCAACGGCAGGAGCACGTGACTCTGAGCCGAGAGCCTGAAACAGGCTGACGATCCGAGCTGATCGATCGGGAAATAACTGTGCCTGAGGGTCAGAGGTCAGACGAGGTCCTAACTCAGCCGTGAGACTGCTAGAGAGAGCCAGATGTTTGATTTCTCCTGACAGATGTTATCCAGGTGCAAACCTTGTCACCTGTTCATTGGCTCACTGATCTCTTGTGCAGGTGATCAATAAGCTGGTTCTCTGGACAGTCCGGCGAGAGCACAGTGACCGATCGGTGAAGTTGCCTCGGAAAGTCTCACAGACTCCGGGAGGCGTTCAAAGACCGGTTAAGCATGTGGGACTAAGGAGATTTGGTGTGATGATTCATATTCAGCAGACGAGGGTGTGCGAGTGTCTGCGGCGAGCCGATGAGGAGAATTAATCCGTCAGATTCCTGCTCCTGCAGGATGGCGCTCCGACGCCGGATAACGTGACTTCTTCTTCTGCTGCGGCGCGGCGGCTCATCAGTTGAAGATGAAGGGATGAGATTCATGATGAAAACAGCTTAAGTCGTCCGTCTGCGTCCCGCACTGTCCTCCTGGGCTCAAACCCGTGGCTTTCCGCTCTAATTTGGCTGCCAGCGGGGGGGCGCATGGCGCTGAAGAGCCTCCCAAGTTTCTGAACAGCGGAGAGGAATATTTGCTCTGGGTGGGGGTGGGGGTATTACAGAGGGAAGTTTAATTTGATTTAGAGAGAGTGAGAGTGAGCGAGCATCGCCGACTGCTGGAAAGTCATTCAGGTCGCTCCCCCCCACACACACATTTCATCTTCCTCTCACTTTCCTCATCATTTCCTCCCGTTAGTCAGAGAACTGAGGTCACAGCATCAGAGCAGTGGCCACAGAGGATCACCGCCATCATCATCACCGAGCTCTTACAAACCTCGTCAGAACATCAGAGTTCAGCGTCACTAACGGGAAATCTTTCTCCTCAGGTTGGAGCGTCTGGTCGAGGTGCTGAGAAAGAAAGTTGGAACAGGAAGTGTCCGCGCTGTCATCTGAGCGGCCGGATGTCCTGATCAGTGAAGACAGCAGCAGCTCAGTGACGATGATGATGTTTCCTTCTCGTCGTCTTAGCTTCGGCTCTAAAACCCAAAAAAGCTTCAAACTTTCCGGAATCATGAATGAAATTTTTCTCTCAATCAAACGTTTTTGTTGTTCTGACATTTTAAAATCAATCAAATGTTTTTTGTTGTTTAATAAAACAGTGATGCCGTGACTTCTGTTTCCTGATGGTTTATTGGTCGATTGGTTGATTGTGGAGTTTCAGAGAGCCCCGCCCCTCCCCAGGGTCTTTAATTGGAGATCAGTGTCTTTTAGTTCTTGTGTTGATTTAAGGTTCTTCTTAAATTCGCCTGTTTTAAACTGAATCTCTGCTCGGTTTCATTTCTGAGGATCACCGTGACAACCGCGATGAAGCCGCTCTGACTTCGTGTTCCCAAAACTTCTAATTAAAATTTAACTTTGACAAGTTTCCTGGCTCGGTCACATGGCGCCCTGAGCACGCTCTTCTTCTTCTGTCACGCCATCAAGGTTCAAGGTTCTTTTTTGCTCTTTGTGCATAAACCAGCAGTCAAGGGTGAGTGCAGAGAGCTCGGCCACAGTAAGCATGTAGACACCCGCTTTACAAGAGGGGCGGCGGTTTATACACAGGAGTAATTATATCACACTACTTCAGTATTCTGAGCTCTCCTGGCCGAGGAGGCGTCCTGCTCCGCCCCGCACCATCACCCCGCCTCCACCAAACCTGGCACAGTGCAGTCGGACCAGTACCGTTCCTGGCAACCACCAAACCCAGAGTTTGATCGGTTGTCCCAGAGAGCACTGCTCTAGAGTACAGTGGCGCCGTGCTTTGCTCCGCTGTGTGCCTTGTAGGGATGGGTATCGTTTAGGTTTTATCCGATACCGGTGCCAAATCGGTACTTTTGAAACTGTGCCGGTGCTTAAACGGTGCTCAAACCGGTGCTTAAAGAATGGAGAACACAAACTTTGTCCAAAAACCTCTCATGTTCAGCTGTTTATTTGTAAAAAGATAACAATGTTAGCATTTTCTGCAGCTATAGGGGATTTATGGTATCACTCTTGGCTGGAAGCAGTGCTTAAACAATGGAAAAAACACAAACTTTGTCCTAAACCTCTCATGTTTAACTGTTTTCCACTTTTTCTTTGGTCATTTTAGCCTTTTGGGCCAGGGTGAAGGGAGCATCTGCCATCAAACAAGAAGACAGCCGCATGTAGCTATGATGATGTTTGCTAGTTCACCTTACATGCATTAATGTAATAACGTGGTTAGCCTACTCAATGTAAATTACACATGAACAACATTAAGCTACTCACACAGAGAAGAACGGCTGCTGCTGCATCATCATCCGTCATCATTTCTGCTACACTGGCAGGGCTAGGGGCCAGGACTCTCCTCTTCGTGTTTTTGGGGGATGTTGCATAACAGGCAACCCACCCGCGGTAGATGCGCTCGGTGTGAGGTCTCGCAGCAAGCCATCACCAGTGTATGAATGTGTGCGTGAATGGGTGGATGACTGGATATGTAAAGCGCTTTGGGGTCCTTAGGGACTAGTAAAGCGCTATATAAATACAGGCCATTTACCATTTACCATTTATCAAATACGGCGCATTTCTGGGCTTTTAAAAAAACCGCTATGCGTCGCCAGGTGTTTCATCGGATTCAAGGTGTTACCTCCTTTGACAGTATCACAGTATCAGCTTAAAGCACTTGTTGCAGGCTGCTGAGTTTACATATTTTGCTGTGAAGTACAGCCAGACTTTTGACCGCTTCGCCTTGGGCATTTTTAATCTGTAGCTCTGCTCTAAAAGAAAGTACATACCTGGGCCCGCCTACTATCCTCGGAAACGTAAAATGATTGGCTAGAAGTGTATCACAGCTCAGGAAAAAAAAGCACCGAAATAAAGCACCGAAATGTGCGCTGCTTTTCGGTCTGGTTACTACTGTTTATGTCAGAACCGGTGCCATCATGGCACCGGACACCGGTACCCATCCCTAGTGCCTTGCGTTGATGTGAGGCTTGGCTGCAGCTGGTCGCCGTGGAAACCCATTCCGTGAAACTCTGCACGCTGTTTTTGAGCTAATCTGAAGGCCACGTGAAGTTTGGAGGACTGTAGCGATTAACTCTCCAGAAAGTCAAGACCTCTGAGCACCGTGATCCTCAGCCTCTGCTGACCTGCTGATTTCACGTGGCCGAGCTCGTCGTGCCTGAGCTGCTGTCGTTCCCAGTCACTTTCACTAACTGTGGAATATTTAGCAGTGAGGAGATTTCACGACGGGACTCGCTGCACAGGAGATAGTGTTCCGATACGATCCACCAGTGTAAACTCTGATTGACAGACGTGTGCAGGGATTTGTGTGCACGTGTGCGTGCTCCGATCCACACACAAACACGTGAGCAGTCTGAGCTCATGTCAAACGATTTTACAAACGTGTACGTGCAAACATGAACAAATACTGAGTTCAGGTTCATGCGTTGGATCGTTTTCACGTTCAAACACTTTTTTGTACGCACCTCACCCGGGAGGCCCTCAGGAGGCATCCTTGTCAGATGCCCGAACCACCTCAGCTGGCTCTTTTGTATGTGGAGGAGCAGCGGCTCTACTCTGAGCCCCTCCTGGGTGGATGAACTCCTCACCCCATCTCTAAGGCTACGTTCACTCTGCAGGTCTTAATGCTCAATTCCGATTTTTTGATCAAATCCGATTTTTTTTGTCTGCTCGTTCACACTACAAATAAAATGCGACAGCAAACGCGCTCTAGTTCAATTCAATTCAATTCAATTTTATTTATATAGCGCCAAATCACAACATAAGTCGCCTCAAGGCGCTTCATAGATATAAAGAAAAACCCAAGAATCATATGACCCCCTATGAGCAAGCACTTTGGCGACAGTGGGAAGGAAAAACTCCCTTTTAACAGGAAGAAACCTCCGGCAGAACCAGGCTCAGGGAGGGGCGGCCATCTGCTACGACCGGTTGGGGTGAGAGAAGGAAGACAGGATAAAAGACATGCTGTGGAAGAGAGACAGAGGTTAATAACAGATATGATTCAATGCAGAGAGGTCTGTTAATACATAGTGAGTGAGAAAGGTGACTGGAAAGGAAAAACTCAATGCATCATGGGAATCCCCCGGCAACCTACGTCTATTGCAGCATAACTAAGGGAGGATTCAGGGTCACCTGGTCCAGCCCTAACTATATGCTTTAGCAAAAAGGAAAGTTTTAAGCCTAATCTTAAAAGTAGAGATAGTGTCTGTCTCCTGAATCCAAACTGGAAGCTGGTTCCACAGAAGAGGGGCCTGAAAACTGAAGGCTCTCCCTCCCATTCTACTTTTAAATACTCTAGGAACAACAAGTAGGCCTGCAGAGCAAGAGCGAAGTGCTCTAATAGGGTGATATGGTACTACAAGGTCATTAAGCTAAGATGGGCCCTGATTATTTAAGACCTTGTATGTGAGGAGCAGGATTTTGAATTCAATTCTGGATTTAACAGGAAGCCAATGAAGGGAAGCCAAAACAGGAGAAATCTGCTCTCTCTTTCTAGTCCCTGTCAGGACTCTTGCTGCAGCATTTTGGATTAGCTGAAGGCTTTTCAGGGAGTTTTTTGGACATCCTGATAATAATGAATTACAGTAGTCCAGCCTGGAAGTAATAAATGCATGAACTAGTTTTTCAGCGTCACTCTGAGACAGGATATTTCTAATTTTAGAGATGTTGCGCAAATGGAAGAACGCAGTCTTACATATTTGTTTAATATGTGCGTTGAAGGACATGTCCTGGTCAAAAATGACTCCAAGGTTCCTCACAGCGTTACTGGAGGCCAAGGTAATGCCATCCAGAGTAAGAATCTGGTTAGATACCATATTTCTAAGATTTTCAGGGCCGAGTACAATAACCTCAGTTTTATCTGAATTAAGAAGCAGAAAGTTAGCGGCCATCCAGGTCTTTGTCTTTAAGACATTCCTGCAGTTTAACTAATTGGTGTGTGTTATCTGGCTTCATGGACAGATAGAGCTGGGTGTCATCTGCATAGCAGTGAAAATGTATGCTATGTCTTCTAATGATGCTGCCTAAGGGAAGCACGTATAATGTAAACAGAATTGGTCCTAGCACTGAACCCTGTGGAACTCCATAATTAACCTCAGTGTGTGAAGAGGACTCTCCATTTACATGCACAAATTGGAGTCTATTAGATAGATATGATACAAACCACTGCAGTGCAGTACCTGTAATACCTACAGCATGTTCTAATCGCTCTAATAGGATATTATGGTCAACAGTATCAAATGCTGCACTAAGGTCTAGCAGGACAAGCACAGAGATGAGTCCACTGTCAGAGGCCATAAGAAGATCATTTGTAACCTTCACTAAAGCTGTTTCTGTGCTCTAGTGTGAACGCTCAAAGCGGCCGCATGCGCAAAAGAAGACGTCACACACAGCGCGCTCTGTTTAGACCCAGAGCAAACAATATTGTTTGACTGATGGCCCTTAATATAAAGACTTCGGACTTTACGTTTCCCAATTTTTGCTTTAAGTTATTTTGTTATTTACATAATAATGTAAATAACCTAATAATGATCCTTAATTCTGTTTTAGAGCAACGGTGCTTCAAAGGATAGTTGCAGATTTCTGTCAGAATCTGCAGATTATGCAGTACAAATAAAATGTTCACGTTTCTCCAACGTTGTCTTCCCAACAGTTGTACTGGACGGACAGGAAGCGTTCGTGATGTCTTCTTCGGCGCTGATAATTGGCGTCTGTCATGTGTCAGTGACGTAAAAGACAGATTTAATGCGACATGACCATCAAACAGCAGTCACTTTCTAAAACATCGGATATGTATCGGATTCAGTAACACACACGAAAGTGACCCAGATCGGATTTGTGCCGTTCACACTGTCACTGTCACGGCTGGCGGAGGGAGCCGTGTGGTGTGGAGGAAAAGGAGGACCCAAGATGCAGCGAACTGATGACAGAGTGATGTTTATTTACAAGGTGGTGGTGGTGGCAAAAACAGGCAACTCAACATGAGCAATTACAAACCTAAACTGGGAGAAACTAAAGACAAACCTGAGACCATACAAAAGGGGTGCGGGGCAGAGAGACGCAGAGACAGGAACGAAACACCATAGAATGCAGAGCTACACGGAGGAACGCAGTGATACATGGATGAACGCAGACGAGCCGAC